CAGTAGAAAAAAGGATAGCCACAGAGAGGTTTTGTTTTGACTGAGCATTAATGTTGTAAAACCATTTCAACCATGCGCAACGAGTACATTATTCTAAGACCAGAAAAGAAACCATGTTCTATTTGTTTCTTTTTTTCCGACGAAAAAAAGTCATAAAAAATGTGATAAAGCATATGCTGAAAAAAAAATTGTCGCCTTATCTTAATATCAGTTTTTCAGATATATGCATATAAATTCTAACTGAACTTTATTGAAATGGGTAGTTCATAAATATTTGAAGTTTTGTACGTATTCTATTGGTTTAGACTTACAATCTAATCTTGAATATTTTTTGGTGCAACTACATTATTAACTAGTAGTGCATTCGTCTTGAAAAAAATGAACAGCAAAGTATTAATCAACAAAATAATTTTAGTTGAATACTAGTGTATTGTTGTTCAACAAAAATGATTAAATCCGTAGAATGACACAAAAAATTTATCAAAAAAATGAAAGACAGTTAAATATCGAGCATTCAAATTCAGAAAATTTAACTTAAGTCTTGTTTCTAAATACTAAATTAAGGATAACGCTCGACGATATCTACTATTGTAATCATTTTTAATTGAACTGTTAAATGAATAATCAGTCAGATAGCTCATCGTTTTTTTGAAGTAAAACTATATTTTAAGTCGTACAAAAGGCTTAGGATGAAGTAGATCTTTACATGAATATTTAACTTTATTCAACATACTTTGCATGTCATTTTTTAATATTCATTATTAATTTTGAAAATGACCATAGACTTTCTAATCTTAACAGTAGAAATCAAACAATTTTTCATTGCATGTCAATGCTCTAAATATACAATTTGAAGAGATATTAGATTTTTTAGTGTTACTGTTCACTGACAACTCTGTCTAATAATAACAACAAGGTACAAGTAATATCTGCAAACTATCATATTTAATTTAATTTTGAGAAAAATCAGATTCATGTTCAGATAGTTCTACTCCATATATATCGACAAGAGTTGTAGTCTTGAAAAAAAATCAATTTTTACATTATTTTTATTACAATTTTAAAAGAACATTTATTCTATTTGTTCATATTAGATTCTTAAACAATACTATTAAATTATTATTTCTAAACTAAATTTAATTACACAAACCAGAGCTTCAAAAATATTGTTGATGATTTTTCGCAAATAGATTAGTTTCATGCATGTATATATTTATCTGATTCTTTTTTTTCTATATTAATTATTTATGGTCTGTCAATGTTGCAAGTCAATCTCACTGATTTTTCTTTACAATTTATATATCGGAGATTAATTAATATGTAATTATAGTAGTTTACCTTCTATTTACATATGTACAGTGTAAAGATTCAATAGACTATTCGTCTGAATTGTACAACAAATAAATTTACTTAAGCAAATGTCACTATTAACAAAGTGCATGAGAACTCTTGTCTTTAGAGAAACCCAAGTGATGGCAGTCGTATGCACTTCTAACAAATCGTTTCTGAAAGTTCAAGATTTTTTAAGAGACAGAATACTTCTGTTTTGTTCTATATGCATTTTTCTCGTACAATAAACTATTCTCTTCTATCAAACAATCATGTTCAAAAGTTAATTAACTACTTTAAATCTTCGTCTACATACTTCATTTATCTGACGTGTTATCTGATATTCTTCATGAAAACATATCATTTCTGTTTTCAAATAGTTCTGAGTACCAGAAAAAAAAGCAATTAATAAAAATTTTATGGTTATGTTATTACTAGATAACCTTGATGGTGTTAAATCATGCTTTTCATTTTAAAACATTTCAGTAATTACGAAACCGCATAGATAAACAACACACTACAATAATGAAAATGAAGATCAATAGTTATTGACATTTTTTTAACTAAAAAACCACTTGTCTCCTTGTGAGAGATTGATGTCAATAGTAAATTTTCGAAAGCATAAATTTAAACGATACATATAAAAAGAACGGTTTTTTTCTTAACAACATAGAGTGAAAAGTTATGAAAGAATTTATTCGAACAATTGATTAAATAGTTTTGTTGAAGTTATTCTCGAAAAAAATATCGAATTCTTTCAATTCAATAAAATAGCTTAAAGTTTAAAAAAAATACGTTAGATTTTCCTATTTGTTTCGTTTTATTAAACAGGACGTAATAATACACACATTCAAATTCACTATGTTCGTGCACTTGTAAGATATTATCTACAAATACATATAGTATACATTTATTCGTACTATACAAAATATTATCACTGATCACAGCAATGCATAAAGGAAAAACAGAACAGAAAAATAAAAGATAAAAGTGCGAACAAAAGTAAATGTTATAACTTTTATGAAAGACAAATCAAAATTATATTAATCTTCAATAAAAAACAAAACTATTAAAAGACAGAAAAGATTTTCTATTTCTTCTGTCTTTTGTTTTTCAATTAAATGATTCATTGAAAAACAATATTGTCTATAAATTTTTTTTACATTTAAGACATGGATATAGAGGTAAAGCTAAACAACCAACAATAAGAACTGTTGGAATTCCAATAGCAAGAAGAGCAATAAGTGCAGATAATATAATAGGAGCTAGAATAAGTAAACCAGCAAATACTGAACCACGTATCAACCAACGTAATAATGGACGTTTTGGCCAAAGTTTATATTTACAACCAAATATTGAGTACTTAGCATCATGTCCAATATAAAATGGCAGTTTTATTCTAGAACCACAACGATAACAAAATTTTGAATTACATTTCGTACATATCATATGATCGCAACCATCGATTTTTTCAATATAAATTGAACATTTTGGACAACGTTGTGCATTACGTTGATTTCTATTTTCCGAACGACGTGTTTTTGCCCATACATCAAGTTCAGTATGATTTTTTTTAAAT